AGCTACCTCTCAGAGAGAAGGATGCAAATGAGAACAACAGCAACTTGCTGTGGCCTTCCCAAAGGAAACTAGCCATTAGTGAACAAGCATGGTTCTTGGATCCTCAAAGTACAAGAAACATATCCTTTACTTTAACTTTCTTCCTGAAATAAGTTCAGGATGAAAATCATCAGTACCCAACAGCAGCTGCCTAGCTCATAAACAACTGTGAATACAGCATCCTACCTCTTCTTTTCCTGTTCCCATATATCAATGCTAAAGGGAAAAGTAGGGTGAGACCTTGAGAGAGCAGGTAGGAGGATACCATCAGATATACTCCTGCCAGCCAAGAACTTGATTAGCATCCTTAATCAAGAAGTGCCAAAGGGTACCAAAATACAGAGTAATATAAAACCAAACTTCGAATTAAAAGTACAAAATCTAATGTCCCAAACTGTCGTTTGGTTTGCAAAGGGATTACCTCTGTCCCAAGAGTCATGAGGCATTGTAACCTGCCACCTGACTATTCCCCAACTAAGGGTCCAAGATCTGTAAATATTTTTTTCATTTCTATTTCTTGTTTTTACATTTCATACAGCTCTTACTACCTCAGTAAGACTTGTTCACTCATCTGCTGAGAATCCCTTAATGCTCTGTGAATCACAGGTAACAGAGTTCTACACACTATTCACACTACTTAGTGTAAAAGCTGGGAAACTGCTTTAGCAGAACAAAAACACACAACAACAACAAAAAGCTAGCAAGAAGCTGACTAGTTGTAAGCACAGACATTTATCAGTTATTAGTCATTAGTCGAAACTGATAATGATGGAAGTCAAGCGTAACGCATCTCGTCATTGTTTTCAATGACGGTAAAGTGCCGCCTGCTGCCAAACAGCGCCTCAAGTTGGAGAAGGATTCTTTAACTTGCTTCAGATGAGCAACTGGGTGCCTGCCAATTTTTTACGTGAACAGTCATAAGCATGTTCCTGCACAGCAGGATGTGGTCAAACTATTCAAAGCTGTAAAACCAGGTTTGCTTGCCAGTTATGTTATTGCTTCAAGATCAGTGTACTAGAGATGATACTTTGCCAGCCATGAAACCACTGCTATTCCTTAACAGCAAATTATATATCTTTAACATTTATAACTCTGTATAGAACTGACTGTACAAATTAAAACTCCCACAATTACAGAATTAGTTAGGACTGGAAACATATCAAACACACAATCTCCTAATCTCTTAATGAGCTTTAAAAAATCACTTCCTTCAATCTGTACCAATTAAAAGGTCCCCTTTCTTGTCTAAACCAGAAGAAAAGTAATTGTAATGACTTACTCAAGTCTTCAGCTGCCAACCCTGTAATGATATCAACATTCCTGTCCATAAGGTGTGATGTGGCTAATAGGTAGTTGAGACATTGTACTGTATTGCCTCCTGCTGGAAATCACTTCTTTAGAGTATTTTATGAGGATTACACAATATGACTATGCCATATGGAATCTCTACTAAATGTCTGTCACTAACTGGATTACTCAAGCATGAAAAATTTCTCAAGAAAGGTAAAGCTGTCTTATTATCAACTGGACAAACACCTTTTTTCCTTGAATGGGTTAAGACAAAATGGAATGTTACAGACATTTATTTCTTATTTCTTTCAGAGGATCAGTCATAAAACACACTGAAGATCCTCAGTATCACACAATATCTGTTCACTAACAAACATATCTTAGCAAATACAACCAAACTGTTGAGTTTGTTTTTTTAAGGGGGTTGATATAGCAGAAGATGGATGTCAATGTTTAGCCATGCTTTAGTTGTTTGTTTATTATTCACTTGAAAATACATACTAAAAGTAGTATCAAATATTTGAGTTTATACCATTTCATTTGTTTTCACACATACAAAAAGTAGTTTGCATATTTGCTCAGCAATCTAGTGAAAGATCTGAGATTACATACACTTCCACAGCTCAATACAGTGATAGAAGTGCCTCAATCTGCTTCCTAGTGAGAAGCAATGCTCACGCTGGAAATCTCAAAAAATATGCAGAGGTTCTTGGATGCTACAGCTAGAAATAACATTATCATGGCCTTTCTAAGACATGGACAGTGCTCTTCAATTTTGAAGAATAAAAAAAATATTCAAGTAAAATTCAAGCTAAAATTCACTAGCTAATGATTGAGTATGCTGCAACTGCAGTCCAGCTAAATGCAGCTCAGTAGTATAGCTACCAGAAAAAGCATTATAAAACTGAGTTTAAAAGACTAGTTGGAAGTAATCCATATTTGCGTGGTCATAGGAAATGCATAGTTTATAAAACATTCATTCTCTAGAAATGTACTTTATTCCTCACTTGAAATCAATGCAATGTGTTTGAGCTGTGAAGGCTTTCACATCATTGTTTCTTACTCAGAAAAATCAGAAATCCTGTGAATTAACCCCCAGAAGCTAAATGCTACTTATATTCACTGTGCTCAATTGCCAAATGCCAGGGTATTGTGAAGAAAATCACAGCGAAAAGTAATAGCTGCAGCTTCACTAAACACAGTCAGTCCCATCACTTGTTATCATGTAGCTAGTTCTCTATCATATGGAACCAGCTATGGTGGTCACTGAAATGACATTGCAGTCTCCAGCACCACACAACAGCACCCAAGAACAAAGCAACACCATGTGTCATGAAACATCCAACCTTCCTTGCCCAGTGACCTCTGAACTTTACAAATGCGTTTTCCAGAGGATAGCCAGAGCATGCTAATGGTTTACTCTATTTCTGCCTCTTCTCAACCTGCTCTCAGTTCCCCCCTTCATATCTGATGTCACTTCCACAAAAAAAAAAAAAAAAAAAAAAAAAAGATTTTAACTTGCAGATGTTATGAATGCCTGAGGCAACCCCAGATCTAACTTCCAATAATTTGCATTTGTTATGCTAAGCATATACATCCCCTGAATTATATCTAGTCCCTTTGTGGTCTAATGTAGAATCCCTCTCCTATTGTTCTTGCTGTTAGCACTGTAATAACTACTGCTATTGCAATGTTAACAAAAGACTACTAATAATTCAAGTATGGTACGAATTCCCAAGGAATCACCAAGTGAGAAACACAGGTTGAAAAGGTAGCTTCAATTCCAAGGACCTATTTTCTAGATTCAACAGTAACATCTGTAAAATCATCGTATATTTGAAAGCATATGCTGAGTAGTTTTACTAATAACAATTAATTTAAAACAATGGTGGTATAAATGGCTAGCAGTATCATAGTACTACATCTTAATACCAAATATTTACATCTTCATTTTGTGAGGATTTATTAATCTATTAATTTATTTTTTCAGCTGCAGTATCTGCTTAATGTTACCTGTGCTTTTTACTGATATGCCTAAAGATGGCTTTGCTAGTGGTGACACTTGAGCCACTATTAGCTAAAATAATTATCTTCATTAACTTTTTTAATCCAAGATGATTACTTGGAAAATATTACTCCTTAAACAGGCAGCTTAAAATCATTAAATTAAAATGTGTATTAAAATGCCCAACAATGATATTCTTCTGACATCCACATAAGTTTTATGGTCCAAGCACACCTAAAAGTCCACTTCAACAAAGAATCAAAACCTGAAAAAGTGAAAATAAAAATATCAAGAGATCCCTCTCTTTTGCTGAAAGCTTTCCTGTTACAAGCTACTCACTTTTCAAATGCCCTGTGCAAAAAAAGAACATAAACTTTTGGAAGGGTTGCTGTATGTTTCCCAGTAGCTGTGCTGGGAAACATCCCAGCAATATTATTATAAAAGGAAAAAATAGATTGAAAAAGTAAAATACCACCAATAGTACATTAAGATTTTTTGTAATACATACTTGACAGATACACAAAATATTTTAAACACCAGGCAGATGGGGCTTTCAAAGTTAAATTAGGAGAGAATGTAAAAACAATGATTGAAAAAAGTGCAAAAATTACAGTGTAGAGGGGGCACTTTTATCAGAGGACTTCTCAATAGAACATAAATTCAATTATCATTATTGATATCATTAAAGATCACAAACCTGACTTTAAATCTAGTAGAAATTAGTTACATGTGAGCTAACTGTGCTTACTTACATTAAAAATCAAAATATTCAGTATTAGAAGAGTCAGATGCAATTTCTTGCCTGTCATAAATACATAAGGAGCTTCATTCAGTCTAAGATCTTTTCTCAGGAGATACATTCCCTACTTGGACTGTTCCTCCCTAAAACTTATTCCTATTGAGTTAGAATTCCATGAAGAAATGGTGGGTAAAAAACATAAACCCAAACAAAAAAAACTACAGAAAAACTCTTCCATGAGAAGAGAAAAGCAAGGAGACTCTCTTTATGGTGAAGAGAATGAAGACAATTACTGTTCTGTCAAAATAGGAAATTGCAGGCAATGAGTGATCTGAGCAGAAAAAAGAACCCAGATTCTTTCAAGTCACGTAGTAGATGGGTAAGACTTTGAGAGTCAAGGACCACATGCTGATTTTTATCTCCTGAATGCAAAGCAACAAAGGGAGGAATTGCTTGCATTGTTGCATGTGGTACTGTTACCTTCCTTTAATGTATATTCTTGCTACTTGTAACCCTTTATAAATCCTTCTGTCCCAGTTAATTGTCATCCAATGCACTTTACCAATACAGCATACTGCAAAACTAAGCCCTTGATAGTTTTTTAGATTGGTCAACTCACTGAAAATGATTTTGTTTTAGAAAGAAGACAGATAGCAATGAAGTGCAAAAAATACAAACAAAACTTTTCTCATGAAACACAGTGATGCCATTTTAAAGGCCACTTCTACCATAACAAAAAGTTGATCAGTAATCAGACATTTACTACAAGGGCTCTCCTTTGAGATTTTCAAGAGAGAAAAGTAAATAAAATAATTTTCTTCCCTGAAAGTAAACCAACCCCTGCCCCTCTACAAAAAAAAAAAAAAGAAAAAAGAAAAAGAAAAAAGAAATTTGCTTCTGAGTGAATATATACTTGTAGAGACTTACTTGAGATAAAGCAGCATCCCGTTGTTCTATTACTGCATTCATTTCCTCAGCTATTATTTTCTTTTTACGTTCTTTGGTCCTGTGTATTCGGTTCAGAATTATAGCTCCATTCTTCAGTATATCTATCCCTGTGTCTGCATTGTTTATTCTGTTCAGTAATTCCTGTAATGTCTACCAACAGCATTATATGTTAGTCAGACATGAAGTTTTAATATATTTTATTTAATATAGGGTTTTAATTAATAGGCACATGTGAATTGTAAATTGACTGAGTGAAGTTATTGAATTTTCATATTGCAGCAAAGATGTACATTATTAGTGTGTCAATTCTTCTTTTTCCCACATCTTAGTTCTTGAAACCCACTCAATTGAACTTAAGCCTCTAAGATATAAGACTGACATCAAGAAATCTCCTCAGAGAATGGCTTACCATGTCATTTTCTTCAGGGTTAATATTTTCTAGCCTAGAAAAAAGGGACACAGAAAGCCTGATCAGTAGCATTTCCTTAGTGCAGCAAAATGAGTTCGCTTTTTAAATCTTTAGAACCTCAAGTAATTTCATTCTACTAGTCTTTAGAGTCAACCATGACACTGAACATATTAAAGTGCCACCTGCTCGACTCCATCTTTCAATAATGCTCCATATCTTCAGCACTGACTTCAGACTGTTAAGTTATTAATGTTTACTGCTATATATGACTACAAGGATCAATTGTTCATATGTGCTTAGATGAAAAAAGTTCCCCAGTGATAGAAATGACTGATGCTTTTATTTTATTTATTTCTTGGCTTACAACTTTTACAAGACATTTTTTTTTGTTTTGTTTTTACTGCACCCCAAATGAAACAAAACATCACTTTTGTTTATAGGGTTTTTTCAATTTTAAGTAATTCTTTTTCCACCTCTTTCTTCCAAAATGAGGGAAAAATCCCAAACCAGTTTAAGTTACTTTAAAAATATTTTGATTTTATATCTTGCATAAAATAGGAAGCGAAGCCAATTCTCTGCAAGGCCCTTATTTAATTCCGGAACAAACCTGCCCGCACTTTCCTCCCTTTCTGTTTCAACAGAACATATATTGACCTGTCAAATACAAAGATGATACGAGGAATTTAGTCATACAGCATTGAACACTGGCTGTGTAAAAGTAGTAAGTGATAGCACAAAAATCTAATAAATGGGATAGTACACATTTTATTTTACCTAAGGTTAGTTAAAAGGACAGAGATCTCTCTTCTGGAAAAATGAGCATATTGAAGTTACCTTTCCATGCCACTGCTACTTACCTAATGGTGACTTCTACTAAAAGTAGCCTATGATATTTTAAGACAGATACAGAACCATTAAACATCTTCTAAACAGCAACACATTTTCAGCAGTGCTGTGACAGGCACTTGTCTAAAGCCATGATTTTAGCTAGCAAACATAGAACACTGGACAGCACGCTACCACATTTTCCATTTGTTTTAGCAAGTAACAGTACATAAGGCATAGTAAATAAACCAGTACAGAAATTTTTAAATTAAAGAGAAATACTTCAGAATATACTATCAGTGTATAACAGGTATATTTATATGACATTCACAAGCAGTAACTACTCCAACATATTCAGTTGGCACCAGAACTAAACAAAATAAAGTAAAAGATGACCTTTGCTGGGTTTGACTTGTATTCATAAAGTAACGCAAATAAAAAAATAACCAACACAATAATATGAATTTTTATATTATTATAATAAATTCTCAGAGCTGGATCCTTGTAGAGTTCTTGCTTTAGGTTTTTACATTGTTCTAAGTGCCACTTCATGGGGGACCTAAGAATGGATCTCCTGCTAGTTTGTATTCACAATGAAAAGAACAGTATTTGTCAAAGCAAATTGGCAGGACTGACCCAGCTTCTCCAGAGGACTTCTACACTGCTAAAAGTGTGGGTCAACAAAATCACCCAGCCAACCAACAGGCTGGGTAAGGCAGACACCTTAGGGAAAAATGGGAGTGGGAAAAAGAACATTAACTTCTGCCATTAGCATACCTTCAGCATATTACTTCCACAAGGGATGTGTCTGTAGATACACAAACACCTCCTTAGGTGACAATATTTTTAAAAAAAGTAGCAACTTGAGCTGTGTATTTGCCCTGCTAAGTCACCCTGTGCTGTGCATAGACAATTAATGAAAACCTCTTGATTTTAAACAGCAGTAACCATAGATTCTTTCTTCCTCATTTCTAAACGCATTCTGGTAATATAACCCCTAGAGCCAACAGGGCTGAAAGAATTTTGGTTGTTACAGTTAAATAATGACAATAGAACTTCTCCAGCTGCTAATTTAAAGAAAGCATTAAAGCATTTGATAAAGGTTGGCAGGCTGTTCAATATTGCACTCTTGTAAAGTTCTCTGATTGGAATAAATCCAAAGCAGATGGGAAGAGTGACCTGTGCTCTAAAACTTGATGAGTGTGGCACAAGTAGCCAATGTAAAAACCCCAAGCCTCTGTGTGCTGTACATCTGAGACAGGGAACTTGACCTTTTGAACAACCATCATAAGGACAGAAGAAACTATCAAGGGTGGTAGTTAGAAAAGAAAGTTGGTGTTCTCCACCGGGAAATCTCCTACACCAGTTCTGAGACTGTGAATGGCATTTGGGTATCAGGCTGCTCTATAAAGCATCGGGAAGAACACCCAAGTGGATGACAGCTAGTACAATTGCTGTTCTCTAAATGATAGCAATAAAATGTAATAGCTTGGCTTCAAACTATCAGTCAAGGGAGTTACTGACTCTCCTGGGAACAAGTACTGCTTTGGCATTACCAGTGTATCCAGCGCCTTCTGTAATTACATGCTCTTGAGGAAGGTACTATCCATGTTCTCTGAGAAATGGAGTTTCTTCTCTTTTCTCACACTTTTGCTTAGAACTAAGTCAGTTTTCAAGTACGTGAGTGAAGCAGACAGAAGGGGTTGAAGGGAAAACAATTGAAGGTGTTCTGAGGGATTCATGTGTGTCAAGAACTGCTACCCATGTGTCTATGGATTCCACTGCAGAAAAAGCAGCAATATGCCAGAAACTCAAAAGTCGTTGACCAGGTTTGTTGACCAGAATAATTAATTTTCTTCATTACTTGAGTGCTTTAAGATCAAAGATCTCGAGTTTATGCTATCTATTTATATATAGGATCACGTGATGTTTGGAGCCATGCAAAACTTTCTTTACTTGTGGAACACACAAGATTACAAGACTGGCAGAGACACGTAAGGCTCACAGTTGTGATGACTCTTACAGGAATTTAAAGCACATCTATAATTTCCTCAGAAATTGCTGTTTAAGGCAAGATTTCAGATGTATATGCACAAGAAATGGGCTCCATAGAGATACTTAACAAACCATGCACTAATTCTTGTGGGTATGCAATCTCTAAATCTTGCTGCTGACTCATACTTGTGACAAACAGTGAGGCTGTGACAAACTCTAGCAACTTGTAAATTCTACAGAGTAATGGTGGACAAACTATGAATTGAAAATTCATATTGAAAATATGATCATTGAAATTAATTTAGATAATATTCTCTGGCCCTAAGTATAAAAATACCCAAAAGAAGATGACTGTTTTTCTGTCCTAAAGATGAGTGCTCTTAGTAGAATCAATTATTTAAAACATAATTTCCTGTCATTTAGTTAACTAACAAATGCACCTATTCAGTCTCATGCCATGAAAAGCTTGTTTGCTTTTTATTTCTCCTGGCAGAAAAGTAAGAGAAATTTCTCAGCCACTGTAGTCTTTCTGGGACTACCCTTCTGGGGACTAACAAAGATGGTCACCAAGACCATCACAACTCAGATGGACAAGGATTGTATGGAGAAGCAAACTGTAGCTTCAAAAATGGCCTGTATCCCAAAGGGAGAAAGAAACCATTCTTGATAATTTCCTCCTGACTTAGTTCTGTTTAACGTAAGATTGACTATTTCTGTTGTGTTAAAATGGCATACGTAAAAATCTCTGAACTATTAATTGTACCCTTATTACCTTACAAACTGCTCCTACACTAAAGATAGGAAAAAAACCCATATATTTTTACTGTGTCACCCATATAATTAGTAGCAATTTTGCTGAAGGAAATGTCTAGTGGGCTTAAAGGCTTGATTGATTTCCTATACGTTGCAACTTTTGACTGACATTCTGGTACTCTGTGTCAAAAGATCCCTATAAAATGTCACATTCATCTTATTTCTCCCTCAATAAATCAATACCAAAGCTTTTGATTATATTTTTAATTTTTGTGATCAAAATTATTCACCTTCTCTGTCTCCAGAGAAACATATGGTTTTGCAGAACAGCTAACAAATTAAGCAATAACAAAGTAAAACTAGCCCCAGTCTATTTTATTGGACAGATAATAATGTGCTACATATTTATATAACCACTGTTGAGCAGTTTATGACTGTCACAGACTGACACAACAGCCTTCTTACTCGGTACAGGAAATGTATACTTACTCTTTGAGAGACTCTTCCAAACGCCGGACTCGTAGAAATGCTTCATCTCTCTCTTCATTGGCTAACCTAAGCCTTGCCATGACAGCCTCATCACGTTCCCGTTGAGCAGAATAAACTTCTTCCACCAGAGCTGCCAAAGTGTGTTCAACAAACAAGTTTGACAAGGAATAGCACTATTAGATGCACTTATGTTGGCCTTTGCCACCACCTCCTAAAATCAACACTTTTCTAATGACCTTGGATTATTCTGCATAAGATCTATATTACTTCTTAGACACAACGCTAAAATTGCTGTTAATAGATAGAATCAATACTTTAAGGTATTAAATAAAGATAAATGTTTTCAAATTCACCCCTGTAAAATCTAACAGGGAAAGAAAGTGATTTGCTGAGCATTCTGAATACTTGCTTAAAGGGAAAGTAATTCTTAAAGCTCAGAATCATATAAGACTAAGTTTCTTCTAGGACACATATTTAAGAGCAATCATACATTAAAACTACTACCATCAGACTGCTTCCTATCAGGGTGGCACATTGATATTAAAAATTCTAATATTTTTATAGTCTGTCTCTGGTATCACAAGAGTGGCACAGCTGGCATCTCTCCTTCTCTGCCAAGCCTTCACTTTATTGTGTAATATACTGTCATATTATCTGTTACAGCATACATGGACCTTGGAGCATTAGGTACCAATAAACTAAGATTTACTGTCTATCCTTGGGAGCAAACTAACACCTTCAAGTCATTCCTCATCCTGAGCTTACATTTTCTCCCTGCCTCTCCCCTGTCAATATGTCTAACACCATCTCTGGCACGCTGCCAGAATCCTTACCTCGACCCTGCCTCCACTAAAATCTTTATTCATATTTTCATCATTTCCCTCTGCAATACTGCAAATCTCTCCTCACAGTCATCATAAAACCATGCATTCAAAATGTCTAGGGACTTTCAGGATGCTGTAAGGCTGCTGTCACTCCAAGACAGAGAACTATATCCTCTCTCACAGGAACATCAAAAAACTCAACAGAGAGCTGTAGGTTCCTGAATTCTCCATTCTCCTCGTCCCTTCTAGTCTGTCAGAATGGAGTATAGACATAGTTTCCTAATATCAAACTACAATGTTTTTCAAATTTTGGTATTTATTCCTCAAGAACTTTCTCTATTAAGCCATTGCTGCTGGGCTTCCTCACTCCCTTCAGAACTATCTGCTCCTCTCTCAACCACTGCTTAAGTCATTAAGATCTCAAAGAAAGACTTCCTCCTGCTTTACTTCCTTTTACTAAAAGCCTACAGCTTTTGTCACTCCATTCTTACCCAAATTGACATTAACTTTGCCTTTATTTGTTATTCCTCTCTTACTTCACTTCTGTACATTATTGCACAAAAAACTTCATAGTGGAATCTATAATGAAATATTATATTGTTCTTCACAGAGTGCAACAATAGAAAACACAGCAGCACATTTTTGTAGTAGCTATATTGCTGGTGCAAAATACATTTTATCAGTACCAAGAAAAAGGGAATCTTCTTGTCCTCAAGCTTGTGAGAAGACTATCACTGAGGAGTAAGGAAGACTTTTTTGCAGGTCTAGCAAAAGGTTGCAGGCTAACAGCAGATTACACTGAATCAGACAAGGAAGAGCTAATGTTACTTCTGAAAGTGCAGTCCCTCCCTTCACAAAAAGTCTGCAGAGGAGCTACAAGCCTAGTCATCAGGTCAGTGCTGTAACAAGTGTCCCAACAACAACACCAAAAGAAATTCAGCATTGGAAGCACAGATTTTGAAATGTATGCAAAAATTAAAAAACACTGATTAAATTCTCTTTAATCCAGAAGAATAGTGTCTTTCTTTTCCTTGAAGATCTATTTCCCCTGCTTGCAACAAGAAAGCTTTGCTTGATGTGGAATGGAAAAACTAAGACAGATGTAAGGCAGCGGTAAAACTGCATTTACACTGGCTGGTGTCCAGCAATAAGTGTGCAGCACTTGCAGAGAATACGTCTGATATCTGCAAAGGTAGGTGGCTCAGCAAGGACAAGAAAAAAACATATGAGGTAACCTAGGCTGTGCATTTCAGCTCACCAGACTTCCACTTTAATTGCTGAGATCTGTGATGACAGGAAAACTAGTGCCAGAGCAATGACTGCCTGGGTAAACTACAGTGCAACTGCTATGTCCTGACTGGATCTGGAATACATAAGCAGTTTGATTCTGTATGGTAATTATTACCTATCAGTACCTTAATGTATTTGCTTGCTATGATTTTTCCAGTAAATTATGCCAGTTTATCTAGCATCATAACAGAGACACTTCACAGAGAACCCTTCCCATAAAGCTGCAAGTGGAAACACTATGCAATTTTCACTTTGAAAACAACTGCAGCAATGAATAGAAAGTTGTCTAAAATAACTGAAGATCTGGCACTTATTACTCTTCTGAGGTTAATTATTTTCCAGTTTAGTTAACTTCAGTCTGGCCTCTTCAAGTGCACCCCTTCTGTCTGACCTTAGAACATCCTCACCTCAGCACAAAACCCCACAATTTGTTGATTCCTGCCATGGATCTTGAACATACATGTACACAGAGTGACTGTCTTTTGGCTTATCTAAGTCCCTCTCTGTGTAAATATAGCCAGTGGTAATAATGACGATACAGGATTTTAAAAAACAGATTATTGCTTATTTGTAATTAAACCAAAGTAATGTACATATAACAGTATGAAAGCATTCAGAAAAAGGTATTTTTCAAGTAATTTAAGCATCCTGCTTATCTGAAATCTTAACACCTCTGAGAGCAGCTCAGATGCTACTTGCCTTTGAACAGTGAACCTTTCTGCCACCCAAAAGTCTATTACGAAACACTGTCTTTTAACTACCAGCTATGAAAAGTGACTTAAATTGAGAAACTCTTTCTTGTTTTCTTATTCTTCCACTAAATTAAAGCATTGGTGTTAATATCCCACTGACCAGATCCACCAACTGCATTAAAAAAATATTTATAGTAATTTTGTATCAACTACAAGTGTCTGGCCTTCGGTTCTGTTTCTTTAAAGTAATACTGCAGGTCGATTGTTTAATACTAAAACAGGTGAGGGAAAATGTAGAAAATCATGTAAGATGCTTGTACAGTAATCTAAGTTTAAAAAAAAAAGGTACTTAGATACATCACATTTTAATACAACATAGGAATACTGATATTTCCAAAAGAAATTACTTATTTAAAAAATACTTAAAGAACTCATCTAACTCATTTTAATGGTCTGTAGAAGTCTAAGTCTTACTTATTTACTAAGACCTGATTTCTTCACCAGCTCAAGCTGAATTTAGGTTTGATATTTTTGTTACTCAATGGCTATACATTTCTGACTCTTATTTACTATTTTATTAATTCTTTTTTTCCTGCTATGGGGAATATTATGATAGTCACATGATTGAAGGTAGTCTGAATATTCCCCTTTCACACTGAGCTATGGATGAGTCACAAGTAGAATTTCAGGACTGTAAGAACCACAGCACGCTTGAAATAAGTGAAATGCAGACACATTTAGGCCTCAATGCAGCAGCAAAGCAAACATTTTGCTCCATGTCTAGGAAAACAAGTGTTATATAAACTGTCCAGTTAGAGTCTATGAAAGAGTGACAAGAAATTCCTTCATATGAGAAAGAGTAAAAATTATCCAGATTATCATCCCTATGCTTCTTAAAACTGTGAGGTGAAAACTGATTGAGAGTAACACCAACTAAATTCCATTCAAGACATGACATATCAAGCAAAATTCTGCCACACTGACTTGGCACCTGATCCAAAGGAAAAATGGATCCAGCTACTTTTTCATCAACTGCTCTGGTGGACATTACAAGGATTTCCTTGGAGACCTTCCAGTGGCATACCAACTATCCCTATCCTTTCTGTCTTGAGACCTGACCAAGAAGAAACACAGATTTGTACAGAATTCACATTTCATGTAAGAAAATGACACATACTTCAGAAATGAAGTATAAGTAGTCTAGTATTAAGCTAAAATGAATGGCGTCATTTACTAATTCATATATATATGTATATAATGGCATTCAAGAGTTAAAATATTTAAATCCCAGAGAACTGAATTAAGAAAAAAGGAATATTTCCCCTTGTTTGCAAATATTGTAGTATATAAAAGTACAGCACTGATATTTTGTTGTATAAACTTTATTTGTTTTGGAAGAATTTAATAACATCTTTCCCCTTGTAAGTAAAACCCCTGCATACTCTAAAAGAGCTCTTTATTTTAAAAGAATCATTATGCTAAACTCATCAATTCTAAAACATTTTTAGTTTTTAGTAAAGAAAACAATTGTAAACAGAGAGCTTTTGTAAGGTAGATAGCTATTACAAAGTTCACTTAGAAAATCAATATAGCATTTTAGCTGGAATTTGCTCATTAAACACCCACAGCTCTAATGCAAATTATGATGGAATGAATAAAGCAAATACATATGCTTCTTTCCTTTTATTAAATGTAAAATCTACTGTTAATTGCATCTGGTATGTCATATAAACTTTTCTCCTTAACTATTAAATGGAAGCTTTTACAAAAGTCATTAGAGATTCTCTTTCTTTGACTTGTATAAATTTCAATATTTGTTCAGTAAAGGTTCACAGCAGTTAAATTACATTAACAAATATTATTAGCTACTATGTAAGCCAACTAAGTAAAATACTTATATTGCAGGTAAAACAAATCAATGGGTGTTTACAATAATATTTGGATATGTCCATTTTTAAACAAGCTTATCAAATATCATGTAATTCTTAGTCAAATGAGAGAGACTCAAAGTAGATTTTTTTATCCCAAATACTCAAATTTGTTTAGTAAGCTAATTGTTTTCTAATATGGGCAAAAGTAAATATGAAGAAGATGAACCATACCAAGTATGAGTTTACTGAGTCAAAGCAGTGTACATATTTTCTTAGTTGAACCTGATTCTTTTGGCAAACTTATCTCCTATACTTTCTAAACCACCTTTAAAACAGCATAACTGAGAAGGTGTGCTGGAAATCATTCTAGTTTAAACAGTGTTTCATGATTTTCCAAACATGGAACTTTGGGGGAAGCAAGGAAAGCATGACTCCCAGGATAAAAGTCTGTTT